TAATTAATAGATTGAGTGACTTTTTGAGGAAAGAGTGGATAGTTGAGTGATTTTTGAGTTAAAATTCAAAGTTGAGTGACTTTCTGAGAAAGAAATCAATAGTTGAATGACTTTTGAGTGAAAATTGAAAGTTGAGTGACTTTCTGAAAGAAGAGTACATAATTGAGTGACCATATGAGGTATTAACTCTAAATTAGTACTACAAGATTTTTTTGCTTTTATTTTTTCTCCTCTTAGAGTATTTAGTAGGAAGAAAAATATTTTTATAAGGTCGTAGTATGTCCAAAGCATATATCAGGTGCATGCACATAACTTGATGAAAAGTTTTCATATATTCATAAACGTAACTGGCAAATGTGATATTTTTTTTTAACAGAGATGGCATGTTGGCTGATTTGCTTTGGCCTTTTCCGGATATGTATGTAGCTTCACATTGCTCTTGATTTAGATAAAATTGCAGAGAGACTAAAATAGTGAATCCTAGATAACAAGAACCTTATATCATACTCATTAATGGGATCTAATATTGTGTACATAATCCTCAAATATTCAGGTGTGTTGTGATGTTGCGTTCCACTTTGAAGCGTGTTAGTTGTTCACGAGGAATATTCACGTTCTGAAATTAATTAGAAACATTTTATTAGTTTTACCTAAATGTACATTTTCTTTGAATTGTTTCTACTCTAATTTATTTCAGCATAGCTCATTTTTTCTTTGTTTCTATTTTTTTCAATTACGGTATTTATCTCGTATTTTTTATTTCAATTTGTATGTTTGATTTTGACTTAATATATAATTTAAAAAAGGCTTTTATCTTAAATAAAAAAATATATAAAACATAATAAAAATATCTTTTAATTTGTGATTTTAAATATGTCATGCATAACACAAGTGAAAAGTTAAAAGTAAAAAATTAACAATAAAAAAGGAATATTTTTAAAACTAATTTTTTAAAAAATAAAACAAACAAATTGATATATTAAAGAAATACCGACAAAAGATGTTTTCATATATATGGCCACTACAAACTCTCGACACTACTTCATCACTCTTCTAGTATTATTATTATTATTATTGTAATATAAATGCATATTAATCTTAATAAAAAATAGCATATAATAATATGATATTTTCTTCGGGTTTTGCTTTCTATATTTTTTAAATAGAGACAAAAATAACAAATGTTCAAATCTATTCAACTACTATTTATTATTTGTTCCGCCTGCAATTGGTTAAAGAAGCAAAAAAAATTATTTAATCCAGATTGATGTTAAGGCAAAGAGAGCTTGGTCAAACATATATCAATATATGCGAGTTCTAAATTCAATTTTTGTATATATTCTTAACATACTTTATAACAGTTGAATTTAGCCTAATCCTTTCTAGCTCGGAGCTCCGCCTGTGCCCAACTTTCTCCAGCCACTTCTAGCATAGTAGAAGAGCTAATTTTTGGTAACCACAATCCAAGCCCCTAAATAACACCCAAAAAACAAAAAAAAGAGAAAGAAAGATAAAGATACAATATTTCAACTGAGAAAACAAGAATTATTTGGCTGAAATGAGGAGTAATGAGTGAATAAAAATACCTATATGTACTTAGTATAATTTATTAATGGCCATTGTGTCACTTGTTATACCCAACTTAGGCGCCAGACAGCCACATCTTCTTATTGATGAACAATGAGAAAGAGAAATGAAAATGACACCAACAGGAAATCGATAAATTTTATGCCACTAACGTTACATGCAACGTTCCCACTCTTAACTCTTTTGATGCTTTATATATTCTTCGCATTATATAACTCTTAATTCTTCGTCTAGCAAAACCAAAGTCTCAGAAAAAAAAACTTTGGCAGCCTTTATTGGCAATCCTCTCAACCCTCTGCAGTCATGGTAATTAAGTTATTGCTTAATTGATTAAAAAAAAGCAACATAAAGTAATTATGCTAATTAATTTGTTTTGTGTGTTACTAATTAGGAGGAGGGTAAAATCACAGAATATAATTCTGTGAGTTCATCGAAAGTTCAACGAAAAGGTGGATTTAGAGCTACCTCCTTTATATTTGGTAAGGAATATTTTTCAAGTTCTAGCAATATATGAACTTGTTCATTAATAAGTATTTGGTGTTTCCCAAACAACCTCGATAGGGGTAAGGTTTACGTATAGATATTGTACTATATGTAGATCTTACTTGTGAAATTAATTTGTAGGTTTGTTGGGATTGGAGAACATGGGCTTTGTGGCAGTGATGGTGAGTTTTGGTTTGTACTTCAGTTTTGTGATGGGTTTTGATCTGAGTGGATCAGCGAATACTCTGACCAACTTGATGGGCTCAACATTCTTGCTATCCATTCTTGGTGGCTTCATTTCTGATACTTACATCAACAGATTCCACACTGTCCTCATTTTTGGACCCTTTGAAATTATAGTAAGTTCTCTCGGTATTAGTAATTTGGTAAGACAAAAGTAATTTTTTTTCGAAGAAGTGATGAATTTATGGTGATTATTGTAGGCGTTTGCATTGATAACAATCCAAGCTCATTATAAGAGTTTACAGCCAATATGTTTGGAACCAAATTGCATATCAGGAAAGAAAGCTATGTTCTTCTATGCATCACTTTGTTGTTTTGCATTGGGTGGTGGTGCGGTTAAAGGAGCATTGCCAGCATTAGGTGCTGACCAATTTGATCAAAAGGATCCAAAGGAGGCTAAAGCTCTTGGAAGATATTTCAATTTCCTTATGTTTAGTTCAGTGATTGGTGGAGCATTTGGGGTCACATTTGTTGTCTATGTTAGTACAGTTAAAGCTTGGTGGAAAGGTTTTCTCATAAGTTTGGTTTCTGTCACTCTTGGTTTTATTTTCTTTGCCTTTGGAAAGCCTTTTTTTCGACTTCAACAACCTGCTGGCAGTCCACTTACTAGAATTTTTCAGGTTAATTAATTTATCCTCCTCTTTCTTCTTTGTGTTTATGCTGTTTCAAATAAAAATAAAATGATATTTTAAAAATTTTCCAGGTTATCGTCGTGGCAATAAATAATGGAAAGCTGCAATTACCAGAAAACAGTGAAGAGCTGTATGAGATTAGTGAGAAAGAATCAGACTCATCACAATCAAAACTTGCACATACTAAACAATTCAGGTGATGTTATTCTTGCATATGTGTGTTGATTCTTAATTAATTTTCACAAATAAAAGCACACTTAGTTTAAAATTAAACGAAACAAAAGCAAGAGGGAAGATGAAAAAGGGAATCCTAGAACAGTTGTCAATGGAAAAAAATATACTCGTATCGGGTGTTTACATCAAACTAATGTAATTTTTATTATTATGTGATTTAATGAAATAAAACATATGTTAATGAATTAAGTTTAAATAAAATGAATTATAAATTTAAACATTTGTTAGCGGATAAAAATAATTTACATAATTAGGTCATCCAAAAAAATTTTGCAGTTTGTTAACGCTATCTAGTTATTTGACATATAGTAACTTTTGCTATATCGTGAATCAGGTTTTTAGACAAAGCTGCAATCCATCCTAAAACAGGTGAGCCTGCACCATGGACAGTTTGCACTGTGACACAAGTTGAAGAAGTTAAAGTATTAACAAGAATGTT